TTTTTTTTTTTTTTTTCAGTCAGTTCACAGAACAGTCAAAATAAATTTAAATTGCAAAGGATAAGTTGGTCGAAGTCCCGAGTCCACCGGATGTTCCTGGGCTGCTCCGAGACCGCTGCAGGGCGATGCTCTCTCCCGCCTGGGATGCGTTCTGGTCTGATGATCACCTCGGCTGAAATCCCTCACAACCACGCGAGCACCAACTGTCCAGCAACTCCTCCTCCGATCTCGAAACAGATGCCGCCACAAAGACACGATACCCAAGTCCACTCAGGTTTAGGCCACTTCTTCACCACTGCCGTATAACAAAGCTAACGCTGCACCGCCATGCACATGCCCTCACAGACAGGAAAAATAAAACAAGCGAGACCCCACTCCTGGTACCAATATTTGAAGCCGGGAGTAATGCAGCACACGGAGCTTCAAATAAAATGGGTCCTTTATTTTTTTTAGATGAAAAGGAACACTTTTCTCTCTGAGTTGCAAAGAAACAAATGAAAGAATGAGGATCAACATAGGCCGAAAAAAAATTACCTGTATTCTATTGAATTGAATTGAATATACTTTATTGATCTCCAGGGAGAAATTGACTTCCAGTACAGCCCGTACCAAGATCAAACAAACAAAACACATAGACACACCAGTTCGGGAAGACTGAGGGCAGCCACACAGGAGGGCGCACCAATTTTTCTTCAGAACAAAAAGAATACATTGGGAAAGCGGTTGCGGGAAGAGGGGGAAAAAAGGCCCAGTGCCACGCCCCCTACAGGGGACGTAACAGTGATTTAAAAAAACACCTCAGTACACTTAAGCACAGATACCGTCAAATCACAACAACAAGGACACATAGGGAGGGAGGGATGGGGGGTTGGAGGGAAGGGGAAAGGTAACAACGAGGCAGTGAGTCCAAGGAATGCATGTCTGTAATTGTGTGTGTGTAAGTGTAAGCAAGCTGGAGTCAACATCCACAGGCAGGATGGAATTTGTCCTTGTGATGCCCATACTCCTGCTTGGGAGGAGGGAGGGGGGTGGGGTGGGCAAAGCGTCGGTCTGCAGTTTCATCCAGGGCAAAGTTGTAGAGTAGCAGCTGCAAGGCCGCTCTCGGGAGGCCAGATTGAGATAAGAGAGATAGCTTTGTTCCAGACAGAGCGTGTTTTGTCTGCCTTAAGTCCTCAGCAGGTCTCTCAATGGCGATCCAATTCAGCCGAATTGTGTTAATTTCCATCCATCCGAACCACCACCTTCTCCAAGGTATTCCCCATCACCTTCATGCTGTCACACATCGTCCCCATTTTGCTCCTATGAGCCTCCTGTTTGCTCCACTGAGTCCCCAGTTCACTCACCAGAGCATCATGTTTGCGAGACAACTCGCACAAGGTTTGAGTCCGAGTGTTGATGGCCCGGTAAAGCGTCTCGACAGGCAGCCCGCCACCAGTTGCCATCAGCCTCCGAATTTCTCGAAAACGTAGGTATCCACCAACTCCAATCAGCAGGAACCCTGTTATCATGAATCCAAATAGGTATAGGTCCTCGACGTCCTCGAGAACTGAGAGGCATAAAACCCTCCAGCTCCTCCAGGCATCCATCGTGAAACCCGCTGGGTGAGTCCCGGCTGGACAAGTTGCAGCCCCAGCAGCTTGTCTTTGGGTAAAGATTTTGTCAATTGCGTTGAGAGACCAGCCGACCAAATCCATGGTTGATGTTAGGCTTTAGGAAGTGAAAATGCAGAGAGAGGCTCTGAGATTTATCAACGTAAAGCCTCAGCTTCAGGGAAAATGGCGGGCTCACGATGCAGCAACGTAGTTTCACATAGAAACTTAACTTTAACAAAGGGTATAATAAACGGCAGTGCACTTCTAAAGGAGGACAAACAAAGAAAAACATAACATTAACATCCTCTCCTTAGCTTTGTTCACGGAAGATAATTTAGCTTTGACATTAATTACCAAACACTTGGATTCTCCGTTTAGGTGGCCGTAGTCATCCTTTTCAACAGGTCTTGGCTCAAAAAATGTCCTTCTCTTCCGTTCCACCAGTCAGAGTGCCACAATACATAAACAAGAGGTTTTTTCCAATTCCGGTAGTTCTAGACCTCATTGCAATAACAGCACCACATGCTGGCAAAAACAAGAATTACAACCATTTGGTGAAATAAATCAAAACATGGTTTACAAAAATTAAATTTTTTACATGTACCCATTTTTCACCTGGTTACACATATTATGTTAAAAAATAGTGTATGTTAAATAGGTTTGTACAATAAGTCCAAACAAGTTTAACCAAAAAATATTTATTTCTCACAATTATGAAGGGTGGAGGGTTAGGATTAGGGTCATTAATGTGGGCCACCAGTCACGATAACATCAGTAACAGGTCAGTTTGAAATGAAAGACACAATTCAGTTCAATTTTGGGGTCTTTGTTTTTATCCTTGTAGTATCGAAAATGGTATCGAGTATCGAGTATTTTCCTGAGTATCGGTATCGAGTTGAAAATTTTAGTATCGTGACAACCCTAGCAGCCGGGGATCGGTTCGCCAAGATCCCCGACTCCGGCCGCTGCCCAGGGCACAATGCACCCGACCCCTTTGGCCCCTCCCACGGGTGGTGAGCCAATGGGAAGGGGGACCCATGTCTCCTTTTCGGCTGGGCCCGGCCAGGCCCCATGGGTAAAGGCCCGGCCACCAGACGCTCGCCATCGTGCCCCGCCCCTGGGCCTGGCTCCAGGGGGGGGCCCCGGTGGCCCGCGTCCGGGCAGGGGAACTCTGTTTCCATTGATGGTACTCATCATAAGGGGTCTTTTGGGCTGCGCTTCGTCTGATCCCTCACCTAGGACCTGTTTGCCTTGGGTGACCCTACCAGGGGATTGAACCCCCGGACAACATAGCTCCTAGGATCACTGGGACACTAAAACCCCTCCACCACGATGAGGTGGCAGCCCAGGGAGGGGATACAGGAATATATACACAAAAATATATACACAAATATAAGAAAGTTGATCTCCACCTAATCTCTCCTGGGAATTTGAAAAGGACATCTTGTTCAGTGTGTCATTGACGGCTATTTTTTTTTTCCTCTTGTGTTTTTTGGCCTTAGTTTCCAAAATTTGACTCTATTGTATTGACTCAAGTGTTCTCCGCCTGTGAGACGATGGTGCTAACCATCACACCATCGTGCTGCCTAGCTAATGTGACTGGACACAAGTGACCAAAGATACTAAAGATAACTAAACTAAACCATAAAAGAAAAAAATGAAGAACATAGAATGTGGAGAATCTTAGGAAACAATAAAAGGACCAGAGAATTGATAGTGGACTGTCATGCCAAAGTAATCATCCACTCCAGTTCTGGCACAAAAAGGGAGAAGTAAGGGACCAGAAAAGGAAATCGGGGGGAGGGGGGGCTAAGGGGAAACTACAGACAGTAGATGGAAATCTGAAAAACAATGACTAAGACAGAGAACATTTACTTCTACTGCAACAGCAGATATCGAATGTAAAAACCAAAGTGTCACGACCTCCAATTCTTGAAATAGCTGACTTCCTCATATGCACATATATAGAGAACCTTCTCTTCTACTAAAGCTGCAGATAATAAATTATTTGACATAGCAAGCTGTTGACAAGTAATGGATGCAATCTATGCCAATGCTGAATGTGGCAAACCTGTTTGCATTGTTCCTACAACAGGCAGCAATGGAGGTGAGGATAGATGACAAGATAGAGTTGACACTCCATAAAGAATACATTGGATTTAAGTCTGCTTTCTCTCTTCAGATTCAAGAAGGTCAAAGAGGAGCATTTATCTTTGTGTTACATTCTCTCTGGGGATCCTGATGGTTTTGCTGCTGGCTGGCCTCATTTTCCTTGGCGCATACTGTGAGTGTGTTTTTCATAAGTTACCCCTCTACCCCTCACCAGCCTCAGAATGGACTGAGTAAGCATTCTGCTTGCATTGATAGACAATTTTGAATCAACCCAGATAAACTGGGAAAGATTTTAAAGAAAGATGACAAGACTATAAGATACCAAGCTTGCTCTTATTTTGACCAACACTCTCCTTTACTGCTTGTACTTAAAATAACTCAGCCTTCCTCTGGGTCATCAACACATTTTTTAAAAACCCATTTCTTTTTCACAAAATCTCTAGTTTTTAATCAGTGTTGGTATAGTGCTGTGCTTATATTGTGGATCTGTTTTATTTCAGATCATAACTCAAACGGCTTAGTTGCAAATCTCTCAGCTATCAAAGACAATCTAACTGAGCGTCTTCAGACCAGCAATAGCAAACTGGACTCCATAAGAGAAGAGAGAGACTTGTTGCTTACCAACCTTACTAAAATAATGGAAGAGCTCAACAAGCAGAACAGTTTGTCCAAACAGAGTGAGTACCTTCATGTGTTATATTTCATAAGTGTGGGGTACCGAGGAGCTTGGCTGATTGAGAGACCTCATGTACAGAAAATTAAAATCTTCAGTACATAAGATATAGGTTTGAGCTACGATTCTTTGGTTTTTCCCACTTTCTTTCTTCACCTTCCCTGTCTCTAACTACTGAATAAAGACCATTAATGACAGTAAAAGCACATTTGTCGGTGCCCTGACTATTAAAGTTTATGTTACAACATTTGCTTTTAAAGCACCAAGACAAAATAGATACTTTTTTTCCCAGAAAAGACATGTCCCACAGGATGGAAAATGTTCAGTTGTTCCTGTTACCTCGTCTCTTCTTTGTCTGGTACCTGGGATAAAGGCCGAGAGGACTGCAAAGACAAAGGTGCCGATCTAGTGGTGATAGACACCACTGAAGAACAGGTAAAGTAAAAGCAATATTGGAATTAGAACACTTCCAAGTCTGGATTGGAAAAGGTGGATAAAGAAAATTCATGGGGGGACCTTTAAAACAATCCTTCATTTTCTTTTATCAGAACTTTGTCTCTGGACTTATTACCAGTAATACTTGGATTGGTTTAAGCGATAGGAATCAGGAAGGACTCTGGCAATGGGTGGACAACTCTCCTTTAAGTGTGACGTAAGTTCTCTTTTTAGTTGAGTATTGATTTATACAACCATCATTTTACATGTATCTGCTTTTTGGCATTTGGGCTCTTCTTTTCAAGAAATAGAATGGCAGCAACTTGTAACATGCAGTCCTGCAGAAATGGCCCTTCCTTGATTAGTTTTCATGCTTTTCCCTGTCAAGCAGCTCACTGAACACCTAAATTGCTTCAACGGTCATAGAAAATTCCATGTCCGGATAGTATGTTCTCATCATATAATTATTTTATACTTAGCAAAAACAGATTTTATGATTATTCACTTACTTTCCAGGTTCTGGGGTAGAAATCAACCTGATAATGGTGGCGGAGACCCGAAGTGGGGTGAGGAGGACTGTGCACAATTTTTGGATTCTCTAACTGTTTGGAACGATATTTCATGTACTACCTCTTTTAAGTGGATATGTGAAAAAATACAAGACACTGTTTAAATGTTGAGCTACGAGTTACATTCAACTTTATGCATGGCAATAGTATTGAACTCAGCTGTCTCGTCCTGTGCAAAATATTTTGCTTTACTAATATTGTTGCTTATTAAAATTAACCAAAATTATACTTTACATGCTATTTTAAAATCACTATCCATGGTAACATTTTTGAAAATCTAACATGTATGTACGTATTTGAATGTGTGAAAAATACATATCAAATCTATTTCTTAGCATGAAAGTTGAAATATGCCAGTATGGAAAGAATTACAAATAAACATAAAAAAAAAATCAAATCAAGACTGATGTATGTAAATGTACATGTGGACGTATACACTATTTCTAACATATATTCGACAAACATGTTACCAATGTCATTGCAGGTGGGTGGAACTAATATAGGAGTTTCTGGACTGAGACAAAAAAAATCTAATTTTAGAATGACTTTGAGCCGAAATTACATTGAAAAAGTATTTCAGTTCCTTTTCTTAATAATTTACAGCTTTCTAGAAAGGTTTTGCTTCACACAGTGTACTGCATTCTGATATTAGACAACAAGTATCTTTGTTTTTTAATCTAAGCTCATCCATCATTGTTACTGCTTATTCTCTATTCGGGTCACGGGGAGTGGTCAATGGGCGCGAAGCGGGGTACACCCTGGACGGTCGGCTAGTCCATCGCAGGGTCACACAGAGACATATAAGGACAAACAACCACACACAATATCAAGGGAAATTTGGGATGTCAATCAACCTTACATGCAGGTTTTTGGACTGTGGGAGAAACCCTTGCAGACACAGGGAGAACATGCAGACTCCACACAGAAAGGTCCTGGCTCCCCCAGGACTCAAACCCAGAACCCTCTTGCTGTGAGGCAATGGTGCTAACCACCACAGCACCATGCTGCCCTGAAAAAGCTCATTTGACATTACAAATGTTTGTGTTATTTATTTAGTACATAACAAACCTAGACGAAACAACCTGAAAAGTTCATATTTTATACAGCCTTGACCAGTACAGTTTTTATTTACTTGTTCAAATTTCCCAGTAGGCATGTTGGACCAAGGGCACATCCAGGACATGCCGAACCGTGCTCTGAGGACCACTGTTGGGAAACGTCCAATTGTTTTCAAATTTTCTTTTTTGTTTAATCTAAAAAATTACAGTACAATTGTGTGATGAACCTTCATTTTGAAAAAACATTTCTGAATATTGTCAAAATTGGCTTGTGTTCTGTTCACTTTAGGTTTTGTATTTATCCTTGAGCTCTCTCTTTCTTACCGATAAGTTCTTGAGTGGCAGCGGTGCCTGTTGCCTGATCCTTTTGGAATCGTAAGGTTCCAAAACAAGACATCTCTGAAACAATACTTGTTCTATGAGCAAGAAGTGCGAAGCTGACACCCCACCCACGTGAAAAATTACAGAAAATAGATGGGTGGGATGTCAGCCTCTTTCAGCTTTGCAAAGTCCAGCCTATTGTACGGGGTGTCACCAGCCCAAGATATCTGAATCATGCATGAGAATGAGCACTCTTTGTGTCTGAGTCTCCTAAGGGAGCTCTCTCACTCAGAGTTCAAAGCTGCCTTACTTTAGTTGGTACCTAGATAAATTATGTTGTTAAACATCACACTTTAGAATGAGTCATTTTCCAAAATATGTTGATATTCACCAATGCTTTTAGGTAAATAAGATTAATTAAATTTTTATTATTTTGCACAAATGTGAGTTGCATGACTGGGAAGTGATAGTAATGTATAAAAACAGAGAAGTTTGCAGCTTGTGATCGTATCGTCAAATGTGTGAAGCGCTCAAACTGGCTATAACACATGCGTCTGTTTTTGCTGCAGATCTCAAAGAGTGTGAAACAAGCAGAATTCCGGCAAGCAAAGCCTAAAATATTTTTTAATGCTGAATGTGCAAAACCTGTGCACACTGTTCTTACAGCAAGCAACAGGGGACGGTTACTGTTACTCTGTTAGTACATACTGTAGAATTAGTTGGATTTAAGTTTAATTTAAATCCAATTTTGTCTGTTCGTATTAAAAAGGTCAAAAGAGACAATTTGTCAGTGTTATATTCTCTCTGGGTTCCTAAAAGTTTTTGCTGCTGGGTGGGCTCATCATCCTTTCTCTTCCACAAGGCTATTTGTCACGAATAGCCCCTCAAACTCATGAAAGCTTGAAAACGTATATATTGACAGAAACAGTATATATGCATTATAAAAACTTCGAGCCCAACATTTCTTCAAATTCTGAGCATTTGTTTGTTCTCGTTGTATACATCAACAAAACTCAACTGTGGACAACAACAGGAAGCTGTACTGGTCTTTGTGGCGTTTGCCTCTTATTTTGACAGCGATGACCGGATATGACATCAAGTCAGTTGAAGAAGCAACATGGCGAACACCGGTGGGGCGGCCGTGGATGAGATGATGCGATACGCGGAATATACTCCTAAATCAAGTATTAGGAGCGATGCAGAGATTGACAGACGACTGGTAAGCCAGTGAAAAGAAGTTTAATACACAAAGTGCAGCTAAAAGGCTGCCTCGAACTTTCCAATATTTGTTTTTGTGGTATCCTCTCCGACCGTTCGTTCATGACTTACATCACGTGTGGTAGCTGCTGCAGATTTGTGATAGCCTAAGTAAACCGGGTGAACTAAGGATCTAATAAGGTATTCTTTTAACATGACAAGTTAGAAAGTAAGCCTAAATCTTACGTTAGCTGTTATGTATTCATTTTATTATATTTTTTCCACCCACATACAACCCCTGCTAACAGCTGATGTAAGTAACCTTGCTATCAAGGACGTGAATGCATCACTAGCTTTACTAAACAAATGCTGTGGTGGTTATGTTTTGTTTTTGGTGACATAATCATTTAGGTTCGCAGCTTAAAGATGATACAAGATGTTTAAGTATGTACACTCGTGGCCCAAAGCAGGACATGCGATTTTGCCCCTTTGAAATGCTGATCTCAGACACCAGAGGGGAAAGATCTCATATTTGCCAACTAAATCTTGCAACATTTTAGCACAGTGAGGCATCGAATGGAGATACTTATAATCTGAGTAACATTGATCATAATGTCTGTTGTTTCAGGCAGTATAATGTAAATAATACCGGACTCTTTTATGACAGCCCTTTAGAGTGAGTTTCCCTCTTAGTTCATTCACATGCATTTCAACGTCTTGTAGAAATAAAATGTTGAATATTTAAACAGCAAAGTTCTTATCTGATGACTTGTTCATAACTTTATTCATAGCATTTGAATAAATTAGTAGATATGGCAATTGAAACTTATTTAAGAGACTGTTTTGCTTGACCAGTGGGGTCTTTTGTTGACAGGGAGGGACTTTGGTGGCAGTGGGTCTCGGTGTTGCTGCCCTAGGATTTGCAGGTGAGAAGAATTGGTCATTCTGGATGTATCTGGAACTGTATATGCAACATGGTGTCCATTTACTATTTACTACTGAGGCTAAAAAGCTTATGCTACCTGTTTTATTAGCATTATTAATTCACATTTTCAGCTCAAAAGAATACAATGAATATACAATATTCAATCCCCAGGGCGTTATGCATTTCAGCTGTGGAAGCCTCTGGGACAGGTTTTCTCTGAAACCGTCAGCAAGATGCCCAAATCAGTGAGTGACTTACTAAACTTTTGTTTATCTGCCTTAGTTTGCATTGCCTAACTTTAAAAATCTACTCCTCACGATGATAATTGGTGAGGTAAAGACATTTTCGCAAAGTGTGGCTATTTTGTAGATTAAAATTCAGACTCATTTTAACTTTTGAAACATTCTTCCTGTTTTTGTCACATGTCTTTATAACCACGTAGATTTATATATTTGCATATGTTCCTAGGAAACTGTCCTCTACTTCAGTTTTTTCTTTGCGATTTTAAGGATTTTTATTATTAAACATTTCAGTGGGGGGGGAATCTAAACACATTACATTGTCAGGCTTTTTGTATGGGTTCTGTGAATTCACCATCATGAAAAGCATTGCTCTAACAGTCCTTTGTCTCATCAGGCCTTCTCGTCATATTACAAAGGCGGCTTTGAGCAGAAGATGTCCAGGCGGGAGGCCAGCCTGGTACTTGGCATCAGGTGAGAAGTTCTGACTCTTACGGCCCTTTTCCACCAGTAACCCACTTAGACGGGTTTAAGCAAGCTGAGCCCGTACTGGTCAGCCAGGGTGTCACGTCACTGGCCGAGTCAGTAAAGTGACTCCTTCACCAGAACCATTTTGGTTCTAATCCCGCAGAAACAATCAATGTTTGATTATGTTTGTGTTGCGTACGACTGATGTGATGAGATTTTCGGCTCACTTTGTTGTTGGCGAGTTGAGCAGGTACTAGTGGAAAAGGGTTATCATTGTTAGTGCAATTTTTTTCTGTTTGTCTCCGAGGAAAGATTTGACCCTTTTTTAACACGCGGTTACTTTTACCTGTATTGAAATCAGCCCAACCAGCACAAAGTCAAAAGTACGCGAGGCACATAGGAGGATCATGGTCCTGAATCACCCTGATAAAGGTACGCTGACACTTCTCTGTCCAGCTCTGACCTGTGTTGTACTCATAGCTTTTTGTTCTCCAGCTCAAATTTCCTTTAAATTAAGACCTTTTTTATTTTTCATTTTAGTCTTAACTGCTGTGATAGCTCATGATATTGAATTAAATCCTTTGTCAAATTAAGTTACTTTGTTGTTCAATGATAATTTGAAGAATTCAGAGTTAATTTTAGCATAACAAAGAGTAGATATCAATTAACATTAATCACCCTACAAACTATGGACAGGTCGCTCCTAAAGGTGTAAAACTGTGACTGTTTGTCCTTTGAACACCGTCAGTTAGTTAGTCGATTTCCTCAGTTTCAACAGTTTTTGGAACGCTTGTTGCTGGTTTAGTTTTGGCGGAAGCTGTTTTGCAATCAAACTTTTTTGCGTGCAGGGGGGTCACCGTATCTTGCTGCTAAAATCAACGAGGCCAAAGACCTTTTTGACAAGGAGCACCGCAGATGATATCCACTGTGTACCTGCCCCGTCAGCTCTTGGGTCTTGCCCCATCAGCATCCTTATCACTTAAGGCTCCAAGATGGCTGAAAACAAATGGCTTCATTCTTTTTTTTTTTTTGCATTGTCATCCATAGCAACACACAACTGTGATGAAAAGATGCTGCTCATATGATGGTTTAGAAAGTTGATTTCTGACACCCCAGCCATGTAAAATGTTGGTACTTGAAATGCAACAAAACAACAGTTTGAAGTGTGTATGTAAATAGACATATATATATATATATATATATATATATATATATATATATATATACATATAAAATTGTATGTGACATGTATCGTAAAATTAAAATGTGCTTGTCCTCCTCTTTTTTCTGAATCTGTCCTGGATTTCTCACATTATGCATTCTTGTTACAGAAACTTTGTCTTGTACACTACACAAGAACACAGACATTTTAAGAAGTGCATCAAAGGGTTATGGAAATGTCCTTCCATGTCCTACCCCTAACCCAACTAAATGAATTTGTGTAACAGATGAGCGATCAATAGTAAGCATTTTGGGAGCTGGTTGCATCTGCACTCAATCTGTGACAGGTAAGATAATCAATACCCACTTAAACCCAGAATGAAAAAGGGAAAAATTCCCAATATATCGGAAAGTGGGATTTCCCTGTTAGAAATGTTTCTGTGAGAAAATGTCTTGAAGTCATTTCAGTTATAGAATAACAATGTATTAAAAAACAATTATTCAATATTTCCCTGTTAAATGTATATAAAGAGAAGTATAAGAGCATTAAAAGGAACTTGAGTGCCTGCATAAATTTTAAAAGTATGGTGTCGTGAGATAAAGTTAGTTCTAGATGACGAAGTCACGCAAAGCATATTGTGTCAGGCTTTAATTTTTCCTCTTCTAATTCAATTAGTAAAAAACTTCTTTGACGTCAAAGCATGCGTTTGTACGTATGTATATATATATATACATCCATCTATCCATTATCGTTACATACAATTGAATGTGACATGTAACATAAAATAACTTTACAACTATTATGTGTTTATCATGATCATACTTGAAACCACCCTCTTATGCAAGTTAGAAATTAAAATTACTTTGTCTTCCTCTTCTCTGACTCTGGTCCCAGATTTCTCACATTATGCATTCTTGTTACAGAAACCTTGTTTTGTACTCTACACAAGAACACAGACATTTTAAGAAGTGCTTGAAAGGGTTATGAAAATGTCCTATTAGCAACTAAATGAATTTGATCCTTCCAACTTTAATAGATGAGAGATCAATAGTAAGCATTTTTGGGAGGGGGCACTCAATCTGTGACAGGTAAGATAATATAGGTAAGATATTAAACTCAGAATGAAAAAGGTGGTGAGAAACGTTTTGAAGTCATTTCAATTATAGACAATGTATTAAAAAACAATAGTTCTAGATTTTCCCTGTGAAATGGGGGGGGGGTAAAAAGAGAAGTATAAGACATCATTAAAAGGAACTAGAGCGTGTGAATAATCTTAAAAGTATGGTGCAGTGAGATAAGGTTACTTCTGCTGTTTTAGATGACTAAGTCTCACAAAGCATCTTGTGTTGTCTGAGGTTTTCATTCTTCCCCTTTTCAAAATCAATTAGTAAAAAAAAATGTTATGTCAAAGCACGCGTTTCATTGAATGTTTTATCAAAATTCTTCAAGATGCAATGCTGGACAGAATGTTTAAATACCTTTTTATTTAAAGCAGAATGTTGTGTTGATATCACTGAACTTGTCATTGGACGGAACAGACAGGTAGGGAGACGTAGCAGTTAGCGGTTACAGCAGCAGTTACTGGTTAGAGGTTTAAAAACACCAACCAGTTACAGATAGGTTTACTTAAAAAAAAAAAAAAAAAAGTACAATAAATAGAAATGGGGGGCTGCCCACTTTTGGAATGACCATGTCTGCAAACCGACACCTAGACGGTTCTAATAAACCGACACAAATCATTCCCTGTACAGCTTGAACTGAAGAGCAGCACAGGCGTGACTTCCATCCTGATGCCGGAGCAGTGAACTGGTCGAAGTTTCCTCAGAGCTGTTGCAGTCACAGACATGCTCACACAGGTTTTTTTTTTTTTACCAAACATCCACTTTCTGAGGTCAAAATCAAACTAAAGTAAAAACTGAAATAATAAGTCGGTCCTCTCCTCGGTGTGCATTTCAAATTTTATGTTCACACAAGGGTCAAAGCATTGTTTGTTTGCACGAAAAGTTGATTCGAGACACAAATGTCAGGATTTGTAACAAAACTGTGCTCCCACAAATTTAATCAAGCCCTTAAAATATGTCCAAATATGTTATCCTGATATTAGGAAATATTGCAGAACTAATAAAAAAAAAAAAATCATACACACATGATTTGGATAAAACCCGTTCCTTAAAGAAGTTGCATTTTGGTCATAGACTTAATTGATAAAATATGCATCAGTATAAAAACAACCCCACGTGGTTGTCATGAAGGGTTCAATTGGCAAAAGAGATCACAATTGTTGTGAGGTTGGGCTTTTTAAACTAAGGTAGATCCAATTGGCTACAGTTGTGTACACTGGATTGGGTTCCATTTTCATTAAAGAGGTTGTATCCAATAAGTTATACAGCGTTTTTCCCCCCTCTCTTTTCATTAAAAAAAAAAGGGATTCATGGGAGCATGTTTTGCTTCATCCTGAATTTGCTCATACCTCTACCATCCACCACTGCCAGAAAAATGGCAGACATTTTGCATAAAACAAGTTTAAAACATGTAAGGATAAAAGAACTTTGTCTGAAAAACAACATTTCATAAATAATTCAAATGTTTCCTTTCAGCTTACAGGACGCTTTGCTTCTATAAAATAATACCAGGCTAAGATAGCTTTTTCCCCGGCTTTTTAGCTGTGGTGATTATGACTGTCAGACTGTTGAAATGTTCCATTGAACGCGTCTTTATGTCAAAATGTAAATGACTGTAGAAGTGGGAACAAGGAGCGAGGGGAAGCACCATGACAGCTCTGTCCACGTCGCTGAATAAGCAGTATGAGGCAGCATTAGGGGTAAAGGGCGGGGGCGTTCAAATTTTAGACGATCATGTTCATAAGAGCAGAGATGAAGATTAATTATTACAGTAGTTTAATTCCAGTATTCTGCGTTCGGTTTGTAATCCGCCATGTTGATCCTCTCACCGAAAATGTTAAGCAGAGAGGCAAGACTGGCTTAAATGAGGACATTTCTACTGTAAGATTGGCGTTTCTGCTCCGGCTGAGCAAAAGCGACCTGTGGATGACTTTCTTCGCTCAAAGGAAACACACAGTGTCTTCCTGGAAACCAAATGGCAGCCCTTCACGAACCAGCTTCATTAAGGCTGCTGGCTTTAATGTCAGAGATCCATTAGCAGTCCTGTGTGGCCCTCCCGGAGTCCTCCTCCTGACTGCCTGCCTCCTCCTCCTCCTTCTCCTCATCTTGCTCCTCTTTCTCGCTCAGTTCCTCTCCGATGACGTCTAACTGCCCCTGCTGCCCGTTCAGCACCACTTCCTCCTCCTCCTCCTCTTCCTCGCCTTCGCCGTTATGAAGCCTGAGCTCTTGCAGCTGCAGGCGCCGCTCCTCCACCAGCAGGAGGCGCTCTCGGACGGCCTCAGCTGCTGCCGCTGTTTCGCTGGGACTCCCGAAAAACTGCTCACTCCTGGAACGACAGCCCGAGTTAGGATTTAGCCGAGTCATCCAAGTTGACCTAAAATGATCAGGTTTAGATACATTTACTGTTTTGTTTTTTAATGATGATGCTAAAAGGCCAAAGAAACCTTAAAAGACCTTTAGTTTTACAGCCTTCGCTGTGGATGTTTTCAGTTAGTTTCGCTGACTCATTGACCTCCTTCATTCTTAAAGATGCTAATGGAGGGTCTAGCTTCACCTGGAAGACTGGGAATCCAGTTTTTAAACCACAGCATGCAGCCATTTTCAGTTACTCGTCTCTAAAGGGAAAAAAATGCAACTACAAGGAATTTTTCTCAAGTTACAAAAGGTAGAAAGAAATATAACCGGCGATGTAGCAGTTGACACCAGTACTGATAACTGTGATTTAAAAAAACAGAGTATTGTGTCTTTGACAATAAAAAAGATAAACTTTTGTTTACCTTTTTGTACTATGTACAAAACATTGATTGTACATATTTGTGAAGCTCTTACACTGACTAACCATTTACTGTGAAATAAAATTAATCAAAAGGAGATAGAATATACCAATTCACTATTAAAATAGGAATAATATTTGTAAAAATCTAATGATTTTTGATGGGCCGTGTTTACAACTATAAAGTTAAGATTAGGCATTGGGAGTGGTGATTGGCTGAGTGTCTCTGTACCCATCAGGGAAGATAACCGGCAAGGTGAGTCTGTCCACCAGAGTCTTCCCAGAAGAGTCAACTTCATCCAGAGACGCAGCCTCTACGTGGTCCTGCTGCAGCACCTGAAATGTCACCAAAATCCAAAGGCCATGAATATATTCACTTGATCAGACCAAAGATAGTAGTAAGTGGGGGTCAATGTGAGATACCATCAGCACTTTACAGTGGGGGCAAAGCTTTGGCCTGTCTACCTTAAATTGCCTGTTAATAGGTAAAAGATTAAAGTAACATTTAATATCTTGAAGGGGATCTCTTTCTTTTTACAGCTCACACAAAAAGTTGACATTGTTGATTCATTTTCTGTATAAATTTATCTTGTGCTCAGCCTAATTTAAAAATGATTAACCTTTTATATAAGTCTAAATGTAAGTAATTGGTCAAGTCTTTAGATTTCCCAAAAACTCCAAAAAGATTCTTGAATTTATCCAAACTTTCTGAGCCAAGCTGATAGCTGATTTTTGGATTCAAATCTGAGGTAGCAATTATTTTTCTAAAATCGAACCAAGCAAAAGATAAATGAAGAAACTTTCAAGAAAAGGATTTCAATGAAGCTTTTTGTAGATCAGTTTACAATAAAAAAACTGAGATGTTTGCGTCTGAACCGGAAGCTGGATTGGCTGCTGCGACAGCCGGTGGAGCGTCTCACCCTTTCGGCGGCGGTGTAGAAGCTCAGAGCCAGCTCCAGCCTCTGCTGCCTCTCATCGGCGCTCACGCTGAACTGCTTCCAGACCCGGTTCAGTCGGGGAAGAGTGTCGCCGGAGGAGCGAGTCGTGCAGCGCAGCGACTGGCACAGGACGACGGTGGCCTGCAGCAGCTGGCGGCCGTAATCGTAGGTGCTCTGAAGAAAAACAAAAAGAGAAATAATGTGAAAATGCTATTTTGACTTTGGAATATCTATAGCAGAACACGTTGAGCCGATTGCATTACTGTGAACTCCTTCTGAAACCCGCCAGATACTGAAGACCTTTTTCCCAACACATCCCCACTGTGTGACAAATGCCATATTACGCTTCTCCATTCTTACTTTTTGTGTACAAAATTAACCCCATTTTGGTCTGGCATATTTAAAACTTTATCAGATATGCTCCGTATAGAGTTAAGGCTGGACCCACTTCTGATTGTACTCGGAGTTTCTGTTCAGCTTTCTCAATTTAATAAATAGCAACGACAATTATTATCTTATGCCTTTATCATAGGAAAAAAGCTAGTGTTGATGTTCTGGAAAAAAACAGAGGTTCCATCGGTTAAATTGTGGCTGGAGGAACTGGTAAGGCTCTCTCATTTGGAAAGAGTACGGTTCTCATTAGCAAATAACTTAAAGCGATTCAACAGAACTTGGCAACCCCTTCAGCAATATATTAATAATCCTATTTGAAGATGATTTGTTTTGGTTATCGGTGTGACCAGATGTAAGTCCCAGGAAAAGGGGAGGAGGGTGGGTTGGGGGAGGTGATTGGGTCTTGAGAATGTCCTTATTTATGTCACTTTTGTTTTGTTTTAATTTTGTATTGTCTTTATGTTTTATGTTCACATAAAAAAAGAGAGCAAACATGTATTGTTGAGGTTGTAATTCTCATGTCTGATTTCTCAATAAAACAGTTTGACAACAGATACTGAAGACCTTTTTTGTGCTGACCCACCTGAGCCACGTCCACGAACTTTTTGTGTTTGTCCAGCATCGTCCTCGTCTCCTGGGGGTCGTCGCCGAGTCTGACGTGAGTCTTCAGCAAAGCGTCCAACAGCTCACCGAGCCACTCGACCGCCTGGACGGGCACAGACCGGGCATTGTTTCATCGGGCGCTGAATGAGCACTAAGAATGAGTAGAGTCTTTTACTGTGGGTCTGACCTGTAAAGCGTCTTCTTCACATTTGAACAGCTGGACCATCTGCAGCATCTTCAGCCTCCGTACATCCACCATGTCCTCACACCTGCAAGGAACACACGGTCAGACACCCTCACTGTCTGAACCCCTCCCTAATCTGAACACGGCTGGCGTTTGGAACTGTAGTTTTTAAGAGCTCAGAGTTTTGCATTCCTCCATTTTCATGTTGCTAACGTAAAGGTCTTCACAACGGCGTACCTCTGCTTGCGAAGCTGCATTTCCTCCATCACCGACTGAATGTGCTGAACGTTGTCCTGCTGCTCTCCGGCTGGACTCTCCGTCTCCTCCAGGGTCCACGAAGGCTGGCCGCACATCTGCTCCAATAGCATCCCTCCTTTCTGACGAAGGGAAGTAAGACCTGCTTCTACATGGGGGGAGATAGGAATCTATTATTCTACAAGGGATAGTTTTTTAGCAGGGTGAGAGGGAAAAATATATGAGAATGTACATGCATTTATATAGCGCTTTTCTAGTCAAGCTGACTACTCAAATAACTTTGCACTACTTGTCATTCACCATTCACACACTGGTTGCACCAGTGGGTACACCAGATGCAACCAGTAGGCAACTTGGGGTTCAGAACCTTGCTCAAGGACTCCTCGACATGTGGTCCGGAGGAACGTGGTGTTGAACCACTGACAAATCAGCGGGCAACTGCTCTTTCCTCCAGAGCCGCAGCCGCCGTATCAGAGTACTAACCAACAATCTGCAGCTTTTCTTCCAGCAGTTTGAGGTTTTGCTGAATGGCTGCCCCGTCAGCTGGAGCCACATCAGCACAGAGCATGCCCAGTAGACCGTCCAACTGCTGAGACAGCTGCGGAGACAGACAGATTTTTGGAGTGATACCACTAGGCTTCAAGTCCCTGCTCTGAAAAGCTGCCAAACAAATGATGGAGCCATTTGTCATTTCGGTGAGGGTGTGAAACAGGCCTGTTTTTCAAACCCCGTTTGGGGGCTGTACCTCTTGCGTGGTGCTGTGGAAGACCTGCGCCGCCTGCAGGACGTTCTGCCGGGTCTCCAGCTGAGCCGCCTGGCGGTAGCAGACGTCGCTGAGTTGCTGCTGTAGCGCCTTCAGCTCCGCCACTTCTTCCTCCTCCCCGGCGCTGAGCAGCGCGGCTATCTGCTGGTTCAGCTCCACGTATACGGCAAACCATTCCTGTGAGCAGGCACAAAGTCAGCCGCTGACAACAAACAAAGCAGAACTACACCAATCCACTCCGTTCCAAGGCTGTCAGTTCAATACCTTGATAAATGTGACGTAATATACAATTAAAACTTGCCGTTTTTAAATAAAAAAAAGTCAATAATAATCTCTTTATGCACATTTTGCTGTTGCTCTTTCAAACTAAACTAAACATGTGTAGATCAGTATCCATTCACATCCCCATTAAACAGCTGTGTGAGCAGAGATCACAATATGAAGGCATGTGAAATGTTTAACATTGAGAATTGAATCTATAATCAGAGGGGAATATTTCAAAGTACAACACTTCAGATAGTGCCCCGCTTTTTCACATAATGGCAAGTGTGTGTCGTTTCCTCACGCTGTGCTGGCTCTCGATCTCCTCGTGTTTCTGCTGCAGGGCCTGAGCTGTTCGCATCGAGTCTCCGATCGCTTGCTGGGTTTTCAGTAGCTCTGAACCCGGACCCTGCAACCAAGTGACCACCTAAGAGTGTGTGAAAAGAGGGAAAGTAACCATTTAAAGTACTTTGACAGTGTGCATGAAGAGCAATCTTGTCCTGATGTTCATAAAAGTGGAGGAATACACATAAAACTGTTCTGATGGATTCTATTATAATGACTACATGTTATGTGACTGTTATTGTTGCTTAAGCACTCTTTGATATTTGAACCAGCAGGTTTGGACTGACCCAATAGCATTCCAACATAAGGATGATACTATCATGTCAGACATTCTCTCAAAAGAAAGGCTCCTTGGTCTCAGTGAGCCTTGCTACTGTGCAGTACAGAGAAGATCCCAGCAGAGGTCTTCCAGGCTCTATCAGCAACTTCACTCACAATCCTTACCTAGGAGGTTTTTGCTCCTCTTTACTGTGTATATATAATTCCATTATCATGTTCTAAAAGTGTTGCACACGTTTGAGGAATAGTTTCAATAATTGAATGCAGTCTGTTTAAAGGGGGCTCTTTGTTTGGTACATGCCCATGTCTTCCAATGTCTGTATCCCATATCTATACAAAGGCCTCTTTTTTGATACCTGGAATCAGCCTAAGCTGTTTTTGATTAAACCAATAATGATATCACAAAAAAAAAACATTGACTTCATCTGTTGACCTACAAAAGTGTTCATTTAGCCATATCCCACTGAGAGTTAGAATTTTTTTATTAGGTTAAGATTACTATTTAAAGTTGATCTGTTTTTCTTGGTGAAAAAAATCAGCTTAAATCCTTCTGCAAAGTGAAGCGTAAACCTTAATCGCAGCATTCAGTAACATCTGCAACTGTCTTTGCATGCCTGTGTGCGGGTTAAGATCATGACTTGATTGTACTTATCAGGTCAGTGATGCTGTATAGAGCACACACACACACCCAGTTCGATCCACAACTAGGCCAACCCCCCCCCCTCCTCAAATCCTCCTGGCTAGCAACTGACACATTACAGTTGCTATAGCAACTTCGGGCTCATTTCCAAGACGGTGGTATTACCCATCATCCCCTGGGGCTATAGGACCTCCAGACTGTAATACTTGTAACAAAAAGCTGCCGAGTGTTGAGGTGGCTCGCTGGCCACGTTTGTGAGAGCAAAAGACCGATAATGTTGAACAAACTAAGGAGGCGAATACAGCAGCCCCAGCATATGCAGAGATGACGTACTTTTAAGGAACATCACCTGTAATGTAACAGGATGAATGGGAAGCAGTGAACATAAGCTATACTATCAAAATATTAATTGTAAAAAGAAATAATCTCAGATGTTGTGAAAATAGAATTGAGACTTCTCTATTTGGTGGATGGCATCCATTTACAGAAGATGTAATTTGAGTATTTCATGTGCACAGATGAAGTCACAGTACAGTGTACTTAAAAATGCAAAGTTACCTGCATAACCTTGGCGTGAATCTCATCTAGCTGGGTGCGTTTGTTGCGCTGCCTACAGAGCTCTTGGTATCGAGTGTACTGCTCCCTGAGCGAGTCCAACAGCTTCATCACCTGAGGCTGAGCTAGCAGTTCCTCCTCCATGGGGCGCCATGCTGGAGCTGGAGGTCAGGGATGAAAGATTGATCAGATAGTTGTTCTATAGTTGCATTCAAGTCCTAGTTGCTCATTTATACATAACAAGGGAGCCTAACATTGATCCTTTTGCACACAGAATATACAGATTTTCCTGATTTCTTATAGCTATAGTGGTATTTATTTTGAAGCATTATTTATCGACAGAAAAACAAAATACAGGTGGTTTCAACAAAAATCTACATCCTTCTTGGTTTGTTCGCAGTCTGTTACAATAATGAAGGCAAAATAATAATCAAAATGAATTACTCTACAATCTTTTATTCATTTTCTGGCAACAAAGATGAAACAAACTAGATATTTCAGCTCTCATGGTCAGGTTTGATGACTAAAACCATTGACAGTAGTTTGCTAATTTCATCAACTGTATCTGGTATTTCACCACAAACTGTCAATGGCAGATTTTAAACAGCTCCAAGATAGCGTTTTAAATCTGCTCAAAACATCTTAAGTATGGAATTGATTGGATCTGCTGCAAACAGAATAGTATGCTGAACTGTTTCTAGTCCTGCTAGCTAACGCAATCAGGCCGAGACAGAATGGCACCAATAGCCACGACTGACTACGATCAGAAAATCTCTATCCAGTAAATTCAACTTCGTTCTGCCCCGGTAAGATCTACCATAAAATATTTTTAAAATCACTGCGAATTGAATTAGTGAACAATTTCCTGTTGATGCTCCACCAATGTCTGGTGTTGAGTGGTTTTTAACATTTCCCCACACTATAGCTGTATTGCCAACTTGCTGGACCCCTTTCCCCTAAACCTGTCAAAATGAATTGAGATACAACTCTGCTTTTGTTTCATCTATCCACCCATCTGTCCTTGCACAGGGACATCTTTATGACAGCGGCCTCCTCACCTGCTTGTCCTCCCCCGACTCCCTCGGAGCCGTTAAACCGGCGCTGCTGCAGCTCTGACAGTAGCTCATGACCTGCGGGCAGACAGAGAAGGGAGAGAGACGGGTTATTAAAGCATGTGAAACAATAATGCATCAGTGTTGGTTTACAAGCTGTTACATTATGAAAGAAGCTGGTGGAGGGAGGAGAGTGGCACCACAAACAAAGGCTCCTTTCACCTCTTCCCCGCCACACAAACACACGGCCTCCTCCAAACGGTGAACACAGCTATCCATGTATTTCACACACACTTTACCCCAAGAACATTTCAAAGAACAATTAACAATAAACAAGTGGAATATCCAGAGTCTGCTAAAGGCAGAGTGCAGATCTTAAGTGGTTAAGTGGAGTTTATGAGAGGTGTAGCCCAGGCTTCATAAGTCATTTGAAGTGAGTCTGTTTTTTTTATAAGTAGTATGAATGAGTGTGAAAGATAGCCAACAGTTAGTTGGTTAAGTCTGACGTACAGCGCAGAGAGACGCAGGTGCGTCGCGGTACTGCGGCTGCGCAGAGCACACAGAGAGAGAGTTGGAAGGAAGACACACTGTGTGGTTGTTACGAGGTGTTCTCTGCGTTGGAAGACAGAAAATGAAACGAACAATTGAAGGAAAAGGTGGAAAACACTGCGCAAGCAAAGTCCAGGATCCACATTCTGTGTTGCTTACTCGGCGGTGAGTTTGAATGAAGTTTGAGCGATTTAATGGCAAATAAAGGTCCGTTAGCATTAGCGCTAATCGGCCGCTAGCTGCTAGCTTAATGCCACGTGTGTGGCATTGAGCTTGGCTGGCGTAGCTAATCGCTAAAATGTGGGGAAATTCAGATTGCTAGGCTATTGTGTGTTTTATGGTAATTTGTGTATTTTATTTAATTGACACTGTTTACACCGAAATGAGAATTAGCCATTTTTGTTAATTCATATAGATTGATTTTTAGGTCATTTCTGTGTTATTTAATTTAAATAAGGACTTATGACCTGTATTAGTTTGATTTAATGAATGGTTGAATGAATGTGGCCTGTCCTACAGGTCAGGTTTTTTCTTGAGGATAGGAATTGGTGATCCTGATGCTGAGAGAGGCATCAGAGACACCAGCCATCCGGGATAAAGAGGAGACCAGAGCAGGAGAGCCATCAGCTGTTTCTCACCATCTGCTGGATTGACCCGATAGGGAGTGGCGAGCCAGAACCCAAAAGATAAAGGACTGAACTAATCTCCCAAGACTGTGTGGTAGGATCGGTGAGATTAAAGGGCCCCAACGACATCAGAAAAAGGACAAACTGAGCTCATAATTTTTTTTCTTTGTTTCCTATGCGCGCACTTTATTATTTTTCATTATATTGTATCATATTGTTAATATTTTTCAGGTTCATTGTTAATAATACATTTATTGAAATTAAATCGTGTGTGAGTGTGGTTAATTTTGATGTTCCGTCCTGGGCTTCATGAGCGTTACCTAATCTTCTGAAAATTGGTCCAAAATCTAGGAATCTGAAACCCAAATTTATACTAAATTCTTAATAGAAGCAAAAAGGGGTTACAGAGGCATCAGGAATAACAATAAAAAGGGGGGGTGAAAAAGAGAGGGAGGTGAAAGATAACTATTGTTAGTGGTTAGTTTGTTAAGAGAGCAGTGTATTTAAGGGTCTCCTAAAAGCGAGACAGCCAGACCCTGGCTCCCGTGGTGCTTGGTAGGTCACTCCTCCATAGAGGGGCGATCGATGAGAATGGTCTGGACTGCTGCACTCGTGGGGTGGCAGAGCCAGACAATTCCTTGGAGGAATGAATGAGCTAACCCGGGTCTTTATTAGTGTGGAGAAAGGTGGAAGAATACTGGGAAATCACTTTGTGGGCCTGCTTGGGTGATTTTTATTTGACAAGAGCAGCTATATGTAGCCAGAGCAGCTCAATGAATAGACCAACATGCATATATGCATGAAAGGGTGTGAATTAAGGATACTGTGAGGTAATGTTTTATCCAGCAGTGGAAATTTATCGATTGAAAGAATGAAACCAGTGCTCTTCTTTCCACACTAAACAAATTTCTCTCTCCCTCTCTTTTTTTTTTTTAAACAAAACTAGTATCTAATCAGACCTTTGATGTAATGGTCATTTTGACATACTCAGGCAGGAAACAACCACTGTTATTAATGTCAGACTTAATTCACTGTGAAGGTCCTGGCACTGGTTTAGTTGGTCATGAACTTGGCTCGTGGTTAATGGTTAATGTCCTACGTTAGGCTTGTGTCATCTTGATGTCCACTAAGAGAAGACAGACCTCTGAATCTCCGATTAATCCATGGTACATACAGATATGTGCAACAAGAAGACAGGGTTCTTCATTCGGTATGTGAATGAGAGTATGTGTCCAAACTTTACAATGGTAATATGACTGCATATCATGTGGTTCTAGAACTTTATCAAAATGCTCCAACCCGGATAGATAGCATCACTAAACACTATGTGAAAATCTAAGTTTGAATAAAAAAATAAAAAAAAAACAAAAAAAAACAACTTCTAAATGTTAAATCAAAAGGCTTTCTCTCTTCTGGGATTGTGTCAAATTTTTTTTCTTAAATCTGCTAACTGTAACACTAACGTTATCATGCTACTTTGAAATGAGAGAACATTAGATTTACCGGTCTGAAGGACTGTTTCGGGGTCAAAGGATGGCAGGAGAACACAGTCAGCAGACCTGCAGAGGACAGACAAATTTAAGATTTGATTTAGATTTAAAATAGTGGCCATGTGTCCGTGCAAGCTTTTTGGAGTGTCTGTGCCTACTTGTCCTTGTCAACCGAGTTGCCTTTGTCGCCGTCGTTGATAACCGACAGCTCGTCCAGCAGCGATGTGGACTCCTTAGTGAACTTTTCGAAGACCTGCGAAGAATGCCCAAATCTTTTGGGTGCTTATTTCGCATAAGCATTTGAGCTCATATTAAAAAATATTTAAATCTAGTTACCAGTCTCTTGTTGAGCCAGTCATTGTGGTCATACTCCAGGCTTCCACCAAAGTCATCGGTCAGCTGGCAGGGTTCGATGTAACGAGTCAGCTTATTGGCCGAAACCAGAATCACCTGACGGAACAAGAGCAGAACAAGGGCAGAAAACAGACGTTATAGCGTCTGGCTTAAACTCTCATTTTCTTTTAAAATGAAGAGTCACACAGTGAAGATCGGTCAGTTTAAGGCACAGGGATGGGCCATTTATGCATTGAGTGCAATTTGTATCAGAAATATCAGTCACTCCCTCGTTTAATTCATATTCAGAAAATAATTTTGGCTCATTTAGTCTAACATTCATTCCTTTAAACAGCTGCACAGTTCTTTGTTTGTAGTGCTCTCTAATAACAGCCTGCTTGAGAAAAAAAACACAAAAAAACAAACTAATTACAACTTTCAGTAGGACATTGAAATGCTGTGGCAAGTGCTGCCTTCCATCTGCTCTTTTCCTCTCTTAAATCAGCTGTTATCAGATGTCCGCTGATATTAAAATCACAGGAATTACAGGGTAGAATTATAGCAGCAGTCATACTGGCTGAGATAATGTGCACTGCGAGTTCCCGCTGAAAAAACAAAGAACACTGAAGTGATCTGAGATGTGCCATGTGTGGCAATTAAATTGGATACGCCTCTACGCTGGTTTAATGAAAATGAACTGGGCTGGGTAGTGTCACTCGGTGGCAAACAGTAATAGAAATGCTCAGACGTGACAAAGAAGACGCATTGCACTCAAAGTAAATGAGTATTCTTATAAAACAAGGACATATCAGAGTGGCTTGAACTGATGTGCAACTCTTTTCTTGGTGCATGATCATTGTGATGATGGTGACGCTTAGCATTTGGTTTTTGATAAGGTTCCTATGGAGATATGGCTACACGCCAGTTTAGCTGAAACGCCCATTTTTAATATTGAAAGTAAAACTTTAGATTCTTTCAGAAGGTTGTCTGAAACTTAAAAGTCACTGCAACAGGCGCTGAAGAGCCAGGCCGACAAACATTCTTCATTCGACAATTTTTTTGTCATCAGAATCTTCTTCATTTCTGACTTGCAACCTTCTTGAATCCCAGACCAAAGCATATACTTTCTTTTTTTTTTTTAATTAGTGCCTCAGCTTGTCAGTGGTTTCTAAATCTGGACACAGAAGATATAGTGTTTCTGAACCGTCTGCAATGCCATAAAAGGGTTAATGAAAGACCATCTTATAAAATCCAAGTTCACTTCAAAATTTTGACAATAAAGCCGTTTCGTAAGCACTGCTTAAGTACATGCGTAAAGCTCTTTGAACAACAACTGCAGGAAGGGCAGCCTCGCAAAAAATAAACCTGGCTCGACAGCTGGCGGCGCATCTGTCTTCCAGTTGTCGTCACAGCAGATGCCGACAGTAAACCGGGACTCCACTCGGAGGGTGTGTGTTTATTTAAACGTTAGGTCAGACATTGGAGCAGCTGTGCGACACCCACCCCCCCCACCCACCCCCCGCGGTGTCATCCGCCAACATCCTCCCTGGTTGGGATGAGTCAAATTTCAGCACCATGGCAGGACTCCTCTTTGGAGCAGCTGTGCATGCGCTAGCGAGTGTTGAAATACAAGCGAGGCCATGAACTCCCAACTCCTGCATGAGCTCATTCTCCTGCGCTGGCACTTTCAGTGTGCCGTGTGAAAGCAGCCACAGCCTCCGCTCCAGGTCAAAAAAGATAACTCCGATTTGATTATATATTTAATTTTTTTTTAAATCAAACGGTTTTATGTGGCAGATGATCTTTCTATTACAACTTTCAAGCCACTCGGCACCAACTTGATCCGGTCACCATAGCAACAACCGGAGAGCCAACAAAGCAGCAGAAATCTGGGTCAGTGGTACCACTGATCTCTCCTGGTAAACCCATCTGTTGTAATTGGGGAGGAAAGACAATATCGCTTTATCTTACTCACACACACACACTTCTCGCTGGTCCTGTGTCGAGTTCCCATTCCGTAACCGATGCAGGTTATAAAAGGGTTGACGCGACTGGATGAATTTCTATTGGGTTTATATCTAGTGCTAACACTAACTGGAGGATTTTGTAAGTTAGAAGAGTGGGTTTGTGAGTCAACCTCGGTTCCTTCCTTCCTACCCCTTTACTTTCCAACAGAAGACATTTTCTTAGGTAAAGCAAGCTTTGTTTCGACAGCACAGAATTTATTTAGAATTTGTGAAAAATGGGGCCAAGTGTGTTATCTAACCCGATAATGCCATCAGTATCATATTTGATCCATACGGTTTCTGAAGTCTTTTGCATCTGAGACCTTTTGCATCATTTAATGGTTAAAAACTTGGCTCAAAACCCCGTTGTACACTATCAGATACACCTGATAACAGTGGGCAGAAGATTACACAACAACTTATCGATTGGTAATAAATTATGAATATTAAAAAATTATTTCAGTATTTCTTATAAATATTGTTAAATTGCCAAATAAAGACTTCAGACAAAAAATAAAATAAAATTTTCTCTATTTTTTCTTGGCTCAGGCATTAAAAGGTTGAGATTTTTTAACTAAAAAGCAGTTAAAAAAATCGACGTAATGTACTTAAAAGGATTCCAACATTTACGGTGGGGTGAACTGAATTACAAGGAATAAACAGTTGTTGCAAGCCCCACTTTGAGGGACAGAAATATCTTTCTTTGATGTGGACAGCAGGCACTCCCAACCAAACTGCTGACATGATAAAGACGTCCCTCACTTGCTCAATGTCTCAAATTGGAAGAAAAGAAAAAGCTAAAGCCTCCTGTGGTTCTTAAAATATGTGTTCCTGAAAATGGGAACCAAACCCCCTATTCAAAAAGATCAGGTTTAACAGGGATTTTCTGTTGGGCTGGTCATGCTTAGACACACCCACAGGAAATGCTCACCTCAAAGCCCAGTCGGTCTTTCTCCTTCCAGAAGCAAAAGTGGGTGACCTTCTTATCCCAGAACTCATCTGGCTTCACCACGCAAACCAGGGACACCTCTGCTGGGATCACATTCTGAAATGTCCACAACATGAAACATCCATCAAAAGCCTCCACAAACTAATGCAGAACCACTGGGTCTGGGGGTGTGGGTGGGGGGGTTCAAATGTGTGTGTACCTGCAACATGAGCACCACCGTCTTCACAATGTTCCACTGAGACTTTCGGCCATCCACGATTACGGTGAAACCTCGAGCTTTACATTTATCACTGAGAAAGGGGGGAGAAATTCTTTGGTTATTTTTCTTTCTGTAAAACCATAAACCAGCATTTTTGTCCCCACTCGGAGAGGCTAAAAAACATTTGCTCTGTATGGAATTTCCAGTTAGCTGCACTGGAAGACTCACTTCTTTGTTCAGAAATGGTCTTAATTTGAATCGAGTTAGAGCAACTAATCAAATTGTGATAACATTGCATATCAAAACTCTCTCCCCGTTCAGCGGGCAGCTCAAACAAAGATATTCTGTTTATTCCGCTCAGTCTATTTGCTAATAGATCAGAGCTGCAGCATTAAAAAAAAACACACAAAAAAAAAAAACAGGGCATCGCATCAAAGCGGCAGCCTGTCCCAACAAAACAAATCCGACTCCAACTTGGAGCTCCTTGGGCATCTCATTTGGCCCTTCATGTCACGGGAGCCACATCGGCGTGGACTCTCGTCTTCACAGGAGCCGTTTTCAGCCTCCAGCTGGATGACTCAACCACACGAATATGCACACGTGGCCAGCCAGCCCGCCACGCTGAGGAGGAAATCAGCCTCAATTACAACACTGAGACGATGAATTTGTTTTACTGGTAATTAATCTTATGGCCTGAGAAGCCATAGCATTATAACCACCCGACCACTCCTAAGAAACAATGTGGTATCCAACTCTCTCATAGCATCTCACTTGTAGGTAGGATGGATTGGATTTGGCTAGCAGTTGTCCACTGGCTCTGTGTTGATGTGCCAAACCTCTTTGTGGTGGATTTAGAAACAAAGCTTTCATTCATTTTCTTCCTTTTTTTTTATTTGTATTCCTGCCATGGGAGAGTGCACATCCCAGTCTGGCCAGTGTTTTGGATGTTGGTACTCCCAATGAGGCGCTCACACGCTAGACTGAAAACGGTGCTGTTCGTTTGTCCTTAAGACAATGATGACGCTTGGCCTCTTGTCAGGGACTCATGGGCCAATCAGAACCCGTTGTTGTTTTTCCATGGAATTTCTTACATGAAACATACATTTCAAGGAAATAGCAAGAAGCAAGACAAATTTGAGCTTACGGTAGTTTTTCCTGACCAGCTAAGTTTGACCCATTTGAAACAGGGGAAAGACACTATGAAAAAAGGAGAATGACAAATGTTTTTCACAGGTCATCAGAATTTGAATGAAATTTAGGTTAAAACTAGTGTCTCATTTCAGGAAAAGTTTCCATCTTTACATTAAACTCCCAAATTTAGTGGTGTTCACATTTTGTGATCATAAGCACCTTTACATTCTAAATACCAGCATTCTGTTGTACTGAGGATCATACGTTGAGGCTAATAGCTTTCCTAACCTTTCCATTACTTGTGTTTTCACAGGGAGACCATCTCCTGGAAGTGGGCTAATGTTCTGAAAGAACTAATTGGAGGTTAACTGTAGCTCAGGAGGTAAGGGGACTGTTTTTCAATTGAAAAAAAGGTTGCACATTCAATCCCTTCCTTTCCCGTTCTCTACGTTAAAGTGTCTTTGAGCATCACCTCTCAGTGTGCTGCTTTATCCCATAAAGGAATAGAACATAATTTGGGTAATTCCGGCCATTACTAGCACTCCTGGCACTTGAAACATTGCTGCTTTACTTAATTCAAATAACAATAACAGAGAAAAAAGCTGAATAAAGGCAACTGATACTGCTGTATACCCCCTTTAGAGATAATATCCCTGAAGGTTAAAGTCTCTTGTAAACTGTTTGGGGAATGAGAGACCAACATGGAAAAGTAACTGAGTCATCAGAGAAATGGCCAAACATAACAGCACGAGGGGAGCTCCATATGACAGCCTGAGGAGGGTTTCAAGTGAGGAAAAAAAAAAAAAAAACTTGTTGGGTGGGTGTGGGACTCGTATTCAGGCCGATACAGTCAGAAACAAGTTGTTATGGAGATACATAATCTTTTAAGCTTTAGGCGGTAACTCTGAACATGCTAGAATCCATGACCGGAGCCAAGAAAAACAAAGACAAGATCCAGCAGCTCTTCACTTTCATGTCAAACATAATATGCCTGGGGGTCTTAACGGACCTGAGCACAGACACCACTGGCGACTGGACTTACCTGGGGATGCTGAGTAGGTAGTCCAGTGTGGCACTGAGCTCCTCCATGCTGGTCTGGTCCGAGTTGAGGGGGATGGTCAGGATCAGGCCACTGCGCCGGTCTTTCCCTCCTGACATGCAGACGGACATTTAAAAAGAGTCGGGACACCGACGCGAGAGGCCACACGCACGTTTTACCCTCGGCGTTCTTTACCTGACAGAAAGGCCAGCTTCTTCTTGAGGACAGGAAGGATGCCGGTCGCTTCCATGTTAACGCTGGACATCTGCAGAAACGGAAGATAAATCATTCCCAAAAGGTTAATCGAGTCCCTCTAAAAAGACGGCGTCGCATTCCGATCGCGCTCTTGTGACTCAAGTTAGAAGTTGGCTTTCTGAAATGAGCCCAAAATTATTTGCAATCCACAAGATATTTGGACATTTCGCAAGCACCAGAGAACAGATATTCTCCCAAAGCAGACAGGAATCTCACTGTTGAGATTACAACGTGTCATCAGAGGGCTACTGACATTGATCAAATGAATTTAAAGGTCCGCAGCAGTCAATAGCCAGAAAAAAATAAAATAAAAAGATTAACTGGAATGATATGGTTGGCAAAGAGGTTTTATGGTTACTGTAGGCTTTCGCCATTTAAATAATTTCCCTCTGGGATTATTAAAGTATTTCTGATTCTGATTCTGATTCCAGTGATGAGTAGCTATGTGATGGAATGCCTATAATGAGAGCAGGTGGACCATTACTATTAGTTTTTTTGTTATTGGCTCAACATCCATGCCTTCAGTCACTTTGCACTTGGAACTCTTTTCATCCAGTTGTCACCACCGATGTTGTTTTGTAAACTTCTCTCTTATTCGACCTCCTTTTAAGGCAGCAGCTCAGGAACCTGGAAAGCGCCTACAAAGTTCACTCATTTTTTTGTAGTTAGTCATTAAGTTACCCAACAACTAACAAGGAGGTGACCACAGCCAGACCTTCTTCTACTCTCACCAGCCTTCCCGGAGGTCATTAAAAGTTGTTTTTGGATGTTTTCTAACCCCAACCCTTTTTTCCCGAAAACACAGGCTGTTTTCTTTCAAACTTATTTTGAGTTATTTCTTTTCTCTGACAAATATCAATGTAATAAGCTTGTTTATCAGTTCACTGGCCAATGTATCATTCAAGCATAAAAAAAGGATTCTTGCCATTACATCTCTACACAATTTCAAATTGTTTTGTTGAAAGCAGGCTACAAGGAATATTTCTATATCCTCATTTCTTGAGTTTGACCTACAAAAAACAAAACAAACAAACCAAAAAAAAACTGTGCCTTCACAACAGGAAGATGCTTGAACAGTTCTGGGAGTGAGAAAGAGTTGAGCCAACTAATGGCACAGAACCTGGAGAACTATTCAAAGCTGGGTCAGGTTGTGTTGGAAGAGTAAAGGAAAAATCAGGTGAAAAAATAAGTTTTAGGCTTATTTTCTCTGCTTCACTATTTCGGCACATTTTCCACTGCTATTGGGAACTGACCAGGAATCAAATCCTTGTTTTTTTCTCGGTGGAAAAAGCCAGGCTTTTGAACTGGAGACACTGGGAGTTGTGTTTTTTCCTGCCTGGAGAGGCTCCTGCAGAGACTAAGACCAATGGTGCCAATTCAAGTGTTCATATCCAAAAGTCAGCCCTTTCTCCCCAAACCGTTCTGCGGCCTTGCTGCGGGACGGCCCGGCCCGGCCCGGCGCGGCTCGGCTCGGTTCGCCCCCGCTCGGTTCGGCTCGGCTCGGCTCGACCCACAGACACAATGACCTACATTCAGCGGCTGCAGACTGCGGCTGCCACCACCGGAACCGCCCCGCGTCGACAAACTTCCCAATCTATCGGTAATAAGTATCGATATTGTCGTACCTTTCAGTCAAATCTGCAGCATTTCCCCACTGTCCCGTTTTTTCTCTCCCCCCCTCTTCCAAGTCCACCTCCGGCCGCCCTTGTCCTCCGAAGCCTCTCCCCTCCCTCTGGTCCGCTTCCGTGGCTGATGTATCAACAGATGGCGACTTTATTTTCCATCAAAAACGATGATGAGACCAGTTTGTTCTCCTCCGCCTTCAACAACAGTGGGAAGCAAGCGAAGCAGGCGCTCGAGCTCGTTCCACTGCGCAGCCTCAGTAAAGTCAAATTAACGGGGCCCAACTTCCGGGAAAAAGAGATTTTCCCAATAAAAAATCTGGAGACAGAAACTGACTGGCACGCGGAAAACGCTAACCAGGAGGGGGGGGGGAAATAATGGGACAATACACATAAAAAAGAAACTAACAGAGATAAGCTTATTCAAAGACTTGCTCTAAAAGCTCCAATAAACTTCGTTAAATGAAAGAAAAGTAATGAGGGTTTTCAGGATGGAAAGATTGGGATGCATTTCGTATTACAGATGTAAAGGAAATTTTAACCGAACATTTTTTTTTTTTTAAATGAGAGACACAACTGCCTGGACATTTGTGTCAGCGATAGAAAAACGTCGCTGAATGAAATGCGCTTAAAAAACACACAACATAAAATACTCTAATCTCAGCAAAGAGAATGTTTACCGGAAGATTTGAGGCTATTCTGAAAGATGTTATGTTACATTGGATAAGAAGGAAGAAGCCTCTACCAGAGACGGTTTGTGCCCCACAGTCTGCTTTTTCTAGAACTGCATTATTTTTTTCCCCTCCTATTTTTTTAGCAGCATTATTTTGGAACCTTGACTGTTTGTCCTCTTTCACGCTTAATTTTTCATTTTTTTTTACACATTTCCGGGGAGGGGTTAAGACAACAGAGGCCACGCCTTATTCAGTTTAAAACAGTTTGATTAAATGTTCATGTGTCCAAGAATACTGACGTTCAAATAAACTAGTACACAGTCTTCATTATAAGAGGAAACAAATGCTGCAGTACTGTGATACTGTGATGTTTTAAAAATTATTTTATTAAAAAGATCATATATGTGTACAGTTTATCAAACTGTAAAAATGAACATTTCAAATGTCTCGACTTTGATTCATTGACTCTAACAGTTGATTGGCTCCAAATGCAGCTTTACATTTCCCAAATAAGATGTTTTTTATGTCCACACAACCACATGCAATCACAACCTACTAAAGCATCCACATTCAAAACAACTTTCACTTCAAAACATCTTTGACATTCACTTTACAGTCATTTTTATCTTTGTGACAGTAGAATCTGTCCTCATAATTGTCGCTGATTGTAGCTATCGTCACAAATACAGTGTTTTAATCCACGGCATGAACACAATATATATTTAACTTTCACTGCAGTAAACTATCATGTGATGCCATCTTTCCCCTTTGGTTTTACATTAACATCAAATAACTTTGGTCTCTCTTTCTTGCAACACTCTGTCCCTACAGTTTGGAAAGACAAGGAGGTGTTGTGAATGTCCCACTGGAGGCTGATCAAGTGTTCCCAAACGGTTAACAGTTATTAACTGAAGGATGCATAAAACAACCCAACCCCCCTGAGTATTGGTGAGTCTCTGTGTGAGTGCAACCTGTAACACTAACGGCATGAAAACTGCATAACGAATGCCTAAACCTTTCACTTACATCTTAAGCTCAAGGTTTATACAGTGAGCTGGCACAATTATTTGTTTTTTTTGGACTGTACGTTTTGGAAAACGGCAGTCAACTCAGGTTTATCCCCTGTGTGGGAGCCAAGATGACCTTCATACCAAATTGCATTGTAATTTCCGAATGAATAATGCTTACAACCTCTCCCAGAAGTAACAGTTGCTGTAGAGCGTTCCAAAGCCTTCCGGGAAAAGTAATCGAAATGTACTGAAGTATCAAAGGCATGACTGTCTCAAACTCCTCCTGTGTCTTGTCTTGTGCAGATCATTTGATCTCTGGTCATTTTTTGCTTGCAGATTTCTTGTGTCTCATAAGCGGGTCGCGCACAGGATCTCAATGGCTGTGCTCTGGTATTTAACAGATTTCTCCTCATCGTTAGGAGGAATGGTTGAGGCCAAGGCACGCCTAAACCTGGGAGCCAAAAACAGAAAAAGATGATTCAACAGCGAGTTTGCACTTAACATTATAGACTTGGCACCTTGTAGCAGCTTTATCATTTTGTTTTCTCAGTTTTACTTACACAGCACAGACCTAATTCCTCTGTATATCACATACATTTTCATATGTTCTTTCATTAGACATATCTTAGCTTTATATTATGATGAAGTTTATTCAAATATAAGTATTAAGTGTTCAAGCCATATTTTGTGTTGAGAGTAATTCTAGTCGTGTTGTGTGGTTACAATTTTGAGGATTGCAGTAAACATGTGGCAGTACTATTTGCAGCTGCCTTAATTCTTTCCATGGCTACCAGAAATGCAATCTGACTTGCAAAGGTCACAGAACTCTCAACTTGCAGTGCAACAATGCAGACTCACGTTCTGATGGGCATCTGCTCGATGGTGTCAGGCAGCGCCTGCTTGAATGTCTCTGGCAGGAAGATGCAGAGCAAAACGCTGAGAAGTGACAGGGAACCCACAATGATCCATGGCAGGATACTGTGGAACACAGCTGGAGAAGAACCCAAACACCACTGCGTCAGATTGGGGAGCTAATGTTTTCAACAGTTTGCCTGATCCATAACTTTGTATGTTCAGCTCCTTCTAAACAACTTCTTAAAATGATTTATATATCATGAAGCCAATCTGAGCTGCAATTTCTATAGAGCTGGCTTTGCCACTAACTACAACAATGATTGTTTGTCATTTATCATGAATAAAAACATAGAATATTTAAATGAAATCGTATTGATTGCTAAAAGATGTTAGAGATCTCACCGAGCTCCAGCAGATATGGAGAAACAGCAGAGCCCACTCTGGAGAACATGGCACAGGTGGACATTGCTGTATTCCTGATGACCGTAGGAGACAGCTCTCCTGTGTACATGTACAACACCCCGGTACCGGCTAGAATCCCGAATTTACCAAGCAGCACCAGAGACATGGTAAGGGCGGGATGACCTGCAGGGACAAGAGGAACGAAATGCTCACGAGAAAAACAAAGTATTTCAAAGAACTGAACTATGTCTTGGTAAACATAGTTTAAGTTGTTGCTTTTATTTACCAAACTCTAATGTCAAGGATCTTTCCCGGGACTAAAAACCCATGTAGTTAAACCAAATACCATGTAGTATTGAATTAAACGTCTTTCAAATGTGTATGTGGGGCAAGAGAACCCTCTTGCCTCATAGCAAAAGGGTTCTGGGTTTAAGTCCCCGGGGGAACCAGGACATTTCTGTGTGGAGTTTGCAGGTTCTCCCTGTGTCTGCATGGGTTCTCTCCAGGTTCTCCAGCTTCCCCCCACAGTCTAAAAAGCTGCATGTTAGGTTGATTGGACATTCCAAATTGCCCTTAGGATTGATTGTGCGTGGTTGTTGGTCCTTGTGTGTCTCTGTGTGGCCCTGTGATGGACTGGTGGATCCCGGGTGTACCCTGCCTCTCACCCATTGACTACTGGGATAGGCCCCAGTTCCCCCCCGCGACCCCATTAGGGAATAAGCGGTTATGAAAATGGATGGATGGAAAGAGGTGTGGTTCAAATTTGAACCGGTCTTACTCACTGTGCAGTGTGATCTGAATGAAAAGCAGTGCCAGAGCCCCCAGCAGAGCGAAGCTGATAAATGAGAGGCGGCGAGGACAGCTCCGCGCTGCCACCCAGCTGGCAAAGTATGCCGGGAACTCGACAGCGGTTAGCAGGAAGTAGCTCAGGTAGGGGTTGCCATTCAGACTGGATGTATTAAAAGACAATCCAAAGTAGCTGACGCTCATAGAAAACCTGTAAAAACAACAAACTAAATCAGTTAAGGATGCTATTGGAAAAGAAAGTTTGCTACAAACATACACAAATATATCCCTGTATTTTTTAATTAACTAGTTATCACACTAAATATCATGAATAGATTTTAACTCTCTGGAACATGGCCTGGAACTGGGTGCTGGATATCTTAATGAATTCACTCTCGGAGGAGTTAAACATATGTGATTTGTCCAGGGGGAGGTGCTAGAGTACAAGTCAGGGGTTCATCCAAGGCTTTGATTACTTCAGTTTTAAAAATAACTTTTCTTGTAGTATAAACGAGCCTGAACTCACCAGATGAGCCACAGTGGAATCGTCACATGCCGAATATTTTTTGTCTTGAGCAGGTCCAAGAAGCTGAGGGATTTTTCTTTCTTGGTTTCAACTTTTTCTGCCTGAGGAGAAACAAAACGTCAGTACGGTGACTGCCGTTTGGGTTTACATGATGGAACAAGATTGTAAAAGAAGACGCGAGGCCCTTACAGCAGCTGAGGGGAAGATGACCTGTGGAGCCTCCACTCGGTTTTCTATAGCTGCTGACCTCAACACAAGGTCTGCCTCCAGCAGACGACCCCGGGATACCAGCCAACGAGGGGACTCTGGAATCAACCTGATGGAGAATTAAACTTGCTTAAACATCATAATAAATTCCAGGTTTATTTGTTCAATAAGAGTATCAGGATATGTTCAAACAGAAACAAGGTGTTCAGTCATTGCTGAAAATAAACTATTTAGAGGGACAAGGCATCAAATGTTACTATGTTATCTAACATAATAGCCAACTCAATCTGAATTAATTTGTTACACCAAAAATGAGTCATAAGATCATTGTCTTTACCAGAAAAACCTGCAGAATTTCTGACAGTCCTTGTTGCAAATATGCTTAAAGCCTTATCTATTTAAGAAATGACCTCGGAGACTTTATTGTAAGTTAGGCAACAAATTATCTTTGCCAGCAGGCGGGATTTTAGAGTCAGAAAATGTTTCCCGATTGGTTCCTGGAATGCTCCAAACCTAACTGAATGATGGCCTCAGATCTTCTCACTGCTATTGCTTGTTTTTTAACTGCTTTTAAAAAAAATATTTTTGTACTGATGTTTTTTTTAAAAATATAATTTGAGTTTTGGGTACCAAAGCTACCAATAGACTAAATTGTTATCTATGAAATTGTTGTAGGCAAATTATTTAATCAAACATCTGTATACTATGGATTTGTAAAATGCAATTAAAAAGATGTTTGAAATAATTTAATTTCAAATTAGGTAGAGAAAAAAAGGCTATTGGTTTACTCAAAAATCTAAAACTAACAAATCATGACCATAATGGAATAAGAGACATGTTCTTGTAGACGTTAGAATTTCTTTAGAGGAAATTAACACTACCTTTGCCTGGTCTATTACCTGACATCAAAACTGTTTTGCCTTTGAATATCTTATTGGATCGACACCAGACAAACGTTCCCGCATCATCACCTTGTTTAATGCAGATCGATGATTCAGCCCTGACTGTCAAATAAATTGTCAACAGTCCATTGCATCCATCTTTTTAGCCCACTGTAACATTGTTTTTATCCATTTGGGTGTTGGTTCATGTCAAGCTTTTGATGCAAATCCCATTTCCTTCCTCTTTTTCACAAAAACTCTCCCTGTTTATGCTAACTTTAACTTCTTTCATCAGGTTGAATTTTTCAAAAACATCAATATTTTCCTAGGTTGAATTTTATGTTTCAGTTTCACAAATTTGAAATAGCTGACCGGGACCAATTAACATCATTTGCTAATTTCTTTTAGCTAAATTAGCACCTCAACATTATTTTACCACTATTTTGCTAATTCATCCTTATGCAGGTGTTTAGTTTAGTTTTATTCGAAAGTTGCAAATTACATTGTGATTCAATACATTTTTCCACAAAGACTTTTGCAAATGTTCACGTTTAGATTTTTAAAAATTTAAGCCTGAGTCCTTGTTATCAAATACATTTACAAATGTAAAATACAAATTCTTTTAAAATTAAAACAGCTTGATGAACATCCTTCGAGAGAGTTGAGTAAAGAGTTTTTAACGAAGCACATCTCACAAGACAAATCTTAGCAGTGCATTGGGGTTGTCTTACCACCAAAGTGGGATACATGCCAGGCCGGGCACAGCCATAACCAACGAAAGGTGCCTCCAGCTCCGGATTAAGTAAGCCGTGCCGGGCAGAAGCATCATAGCTAGCACGTAGATGAAAGGCAGGCACAGGCTAGAGAAGAGGACTCTGGTCGAACCAATCAGGATTTCAGAACCTGTGGAGGAGAAAAGAGAATGAGCAAGACATAGCACCAGGACATGTGACGATAAAGGTCATAGGTCATAGCGTACACATACCTAAGACAAAGACAACAATGTAGCAGGCTATCTGACCCAGACCCAACATGAAGAACAGAAAAGTGAAGACAGGCCAGGATGGAGCAAAAGTCATGGCGGCGCTGAAGATGCTGAGAATGGCAACAGAACCAAACAGGACGGGTTTCCTGCCAAACCTGGAGTACAAATGTTACAGCCATAAGAAACCACATCAATGCATACGGACCTCATAGCAATGCCAAAAAGCAGACATAAAGTACCTATCAGAGATAATTCCAGAGGCAAAGCATCCACAAAGTCCACCCAGGAAGTAGACTAGAGAGGTCAAAGGTCGTTTCCATTGCTCACTGCATACCAGGTCAAACTGAGGAACGGAAAATTAAGTAAACATTAGGATTAAATTCTGCACAAAGCACAAAGAAAAATTACATTGCGTTTGTTCTTCTAGTTTGTTTTGATTTTACTGAGCATTGACTTATAGTATCCATGCCCTTAAATGTGCTATTATCAGTATCTATTGGATGTTTCAGGGGTTGATTCTGAATTTCCTGCTAACACCGTCCTTCGACTTCCAGTTGCGAGGTTGGCTTTCCGCTCAGCTCTTTCAATCCAAACTACTTTGTTTCAGCTGCATCTTGCTTGTCGGTTCTGGCTGATTCTGATACATCAGCTGGAGTGGATTTCCTCCTCTGGATCATGGTGTTCTACTTGCTAATCCTATTTCTGTTTTGTTTTTGTTTTTTTGTCCTCAAAACTATGTGAAACAGAAGTTTACTCTACAGGGTTTCTCTATCTATCTATCTATCTATCTATCTATCTATCTATCTATCTATCT